TTTACGTGTTTTAGTTTGAGAAAAACTTCAGTAGGATAGAATGTGGCTCCTCAGACACTCTCACGAGGAGTGGAACCCATGCATTGGGTTTTAACGTATGTGGGGCCGGATGTTACCTAATCACGGGGGAGCTAGTTCCCTTGTGAGAGTAGCTGGCCAGCCACATGGTCAAGTTGCCCTACTGAAGATTTCTCAGTTTAGTTTATAACATTTTTTTATCTGATTCACTTTATTATTTAGAAGAATTTTTGTGTTCTTTCTTCCTGCAGCTAGTCATTATTTCTTCAATAACAATGACCGTTTTCCTCCGGACTCGAATGGCTATCGACTTGATCCACGCAAATTATTATATGGGCTCTTTATTCTACGGACTCGTCATACTTCTCGTTGATGGATTCCCGGAACTGTCAATGACTGTCTCAAGAATTGTGGTTTTCTACAAACAGAAAGAGTTGTGTTTTTATCCTGCTTGGGCTTATGCAATCCCAGCTGCCATCCTAAAGGTTCCGCTATCGTGCTTGGAGGCTTTTGTTTGGACTGCTCTTACATACTATGTTATCGGTTACACCCCTGAGGTTGGAAGGTCAGTCAGCGGTCGAATATTCAGATTTTAGTAAGATGGTTAAGTAATAGACTGTCACATGTTTGAAAGAGTTTTTATGCTTCGGTCGTGTCTATAGCTTTGCCTGAACTTGTGACGAATAAATATAAACGCTCTGGTTAGATGTCCGGAATATCATTGTAGCTCTTGCACATGTGTTTTGCAGGTTCTTTCGCCAGTTCCTTCTACTCTTCGCTATGCACTTAACATCAATATCCATGTTTCGATTTATTGCTTCGGTTTTTCAAACTGTGGGTGCTGCTATGACAGCTGGTACTTCATCAATATTGGCTGTTTTACTATTTGGTGGCTTCGTTATACCAAAATGTAAGATTTTCATTAGCTTTTCCCCATTTTTATGTCTATAAATTCTGCTACTTTAAGTCATATTTAGATGATGTTTTGTTGCAGCATATATGCCGGCTTGGATTAAGTGGGGATTTTGGGTTTCTCCTTTGACGTATGGGGAGATAGGATTAACAGTTAACGAATTCCTAGCGCCCCGATGGGAAAAGGTGAGAAAATTACCATCCAACGTCGTAGTATCACTAAACACAGCACATAAAAGCAATGGTAGAGTTATTCCTCCATCCATTAGTGACTCTGCTAGCAACCTGAGGGAGTTTCCTCCATCCATTAGTGACTCTACTCTTTACTTATACTCATAGGTTTATGGAAACACAACTCTCAGTCTACAAGTACTCGAAAGCCGTGGATTAAACTTTGAAGGCTATTTCTATTGGATATCACTTGGCGCGTTAGTAGGGTTCACGGTATTATTCAATGTTGGTTTCACCTTAGCTTTGACTTTCTTGAAGTGTAAGTTTCTTCTCCATCCATCACTTCGCCACTTTAAGCAGCAATGTTTTCTATTCTGGTTTTGTTAACTAGCCCTTGTCTTCTGTTCAGCTCCCGGAAGGCCGCCTGCTATTATTTCTTATGAAAAGTATCGTCAACTGCAAGGAAAAGGAGACAAAAAAACCGATATAGACAGAGAGCATAAGCCCACTAGTGCACCTAACACTACTGCAGAAGCCAAGAAGGGTGAGGATAATTTTCGTTTTTCATCTTTGCTTGTTTAATTCTATTGTAAATTGGGTGGGCTTCTTTTATATTTAGATGCATACCAAGTGTAGCCACTTTCGCTATGTTCTTCCCCATAAGGCACCCGAGTTCTAATCCCCTTCCCCACAGTTCGCATTAGTTTAAAGTAGAATATCGCTTGTATCAAACAAATGAAAAAGATACATAATGGATCTTATTCTGCTTCTCTTTCCTTTGTTTTCCAGGGAGGATGGTTTTACCATTTGAGCCCCTAGCAGTAGCTTTTCAGGATGTACAATACTATGTTGACACTCCTTTGGTAATCATTCAGAACCTACCTCTCTCTCTCTCTCTCAATTCTGAGGAGATCAGAAATGCAAGGAATGAATAATTTCAGCTGATATGGCTAGTTCTGGTATCTTTATTTGCGTTTCAGGAAATGAGAAAGCGGGGCTTTACGCAGAAAAGGCTTCAGCTCCTATCTGATGTTACAGGTTCTTTCAGGCCAGGTATTCTAACGGCATTAATGGGAGTCAGCGGGGCCGGGAAAACAACTCTCATGGATGTTCTTTGTGGAAGAAAAACTGGTGGTACCATTGAAGGGGAGATAAGAATTGGAGGGTACCCCAAGGTTCAAGATACATTTGCTAGGGTATCAGGCTACTGTGAGCAAAATGACATACATTCTCCGCAAATAACTGTTGAAGAATCGATCGTATATTCTGCTTGGCTGCGCCTCCCTTCTCATATCGATTCTAATACTAAAGCTGTATGCTGTCTTTTCTAGAACATGAGTATTTCAATGGTGCTTGAATTGAATATTCGAATTAAATTGCCAGATAACTTTTTTTTTTCCTTCCTCCCCAGGAATTTGTAAAGGAAGTCCTCGAAACTATTGAGCTAGACGGGATTAAAGATTGCTTAGTGGGGATGGCAGGAGTAAGTGGTTTATCAACTGAGCAGCGCAAAAGGCTTACCATAGCTGTGGAACTCATTGCCAATCCATCGATCATGTTCATGGATGAACCAACTTCAGGTTTAGATGCGCGGGCAGCTGCTATTGTCATGAGAGCAGTGAAAAATGTTGCTGCAACGGGAAGAACGGTTGTTTGCACCATCCACCAACCAAGTATTGATATTTTCGAGGCATTTGATGAGGTAAAAGTGATTTTCTGAAGTTTAAAGGAATTGATCTCAAAAGTTTCATCATGACTTTATGCTTTTTTCGCACTTGAACTCAGAAATACTGTGTTTGATCAGTTTTTTCTTTCGTTGACATGATACATCACTTATATGTCCTTCGAATAACAATGGTTCACACCTTCACTGCAGTTGATTCTGATGAAAACCGGGGGACACATAATCTATTGCGGTCCACTGGGGCAGAACTCAAGTGAGGTCATTGAGTACTTCGAGGTAGTTGAACAACTGCTATTTTACATAGCATTAACTTGTCTCTGGAAGACATATAATCGTTTAGTCCTGATCCACTTTTCTTGATTTGGCTAGAGTATTCCCCGGGTGCCCTCAATTAAAGACAATTATAATCCAGCGACATGGATGTTAGAAGTTACTTCAAAATCTGTGGAATCTGAGCTCGGTATAGATTTTGCGCAAATATATAGGGAATCCGCCTTGTATGGGTAAGCATAATGTGATCCCTCACCTCTCTTCCCCTTCATTTGTGCAAACGCTAGTAAACATGAACTCTATATCCAAATTGTATACATTCATATTGTTGTTATTTATCATTTGCATTCACATGTCAACTTGGTTACTCACGACTCTCGCTCTTTTGACTTCAGGTCGAACAAGGATTTAGCCAAGCAATTGTGTTCACCATCTCCTGGTTCAAATGAAATGCATTTTGCTACTCGTTTTCCACAGAACGGTTGGGGGCAGTTCAAAGCTTGCCTGTGGAAACAGAACTTGTCTTACTGGAGAAGTCCTTCATATAATCTGACACGCATAATATTTATGTTTTGCGCATCTCTGCTGTTCGGAATACTGTTCTGGGATCAAGGGAATAAAATGTTAGTCTGCAAAGTTTTGTTTATGCTCACATAAACCGCTAAACTTCATGATTTTCATTTAAAGATGATTTACTGACCATAACTTTTGTGTTTCACAGAAATAGCCAGCAAGACCTCTTCAATATGTATGGTTCAATGTTCTGTGCAGTAATATTCTTTGGCATAAACAATTGCTCAACAGTTCTACCATACGTTGCCACAGAGCGGAATGTTCTATACCGAGAAAGATTTGCAGGAATGTTCTCTTCATGGGCCTATTCGTTCGCACAGGTTTTAGTTCTTTTTAGTGCAACTTTAATAAATTCATCAACAACTTGTGAGTCATCCAAGTCTAATTAAAGACATTCATCAACATTTTGTAGGTACTAGTTGAGGTTCCTTACGCGTTCACTCAAGCAGTTATTTATGTTGCGATCACATACCCAATGATCGGTTACCAGTGGTCTGCCTACAAGATATTTTGGTCATTCTATAGCATGTTCTGCATACTACTAAGCTTCAATTACCTAGGAATGCTGATCGTGTCGTTGACACCAAACGTTCAGGTGGCTGCGATCGTGGCATCAGCTTCCTACGCAATGCTGAACTTGTTTTCCGGGTTTGTCATTCCAAGGCTGGTAAGATTGCGAATCATTTAGCTTAACATTTACACTTCGGAGAAATAATTACACGCAGAAAACTAACTCGAGCCTATTATTTGCTTGATGCAGCAAATACCGAAGTGGTGGCTCTGGTTGTATTACTTATCCCCTACATCATGGGCCCTAAACGGAATGCTTACGCCGCAGTATGGAGATATGCAGAAGGAAATCCAGGCGTTCGGAGAGACTAAAACTGTCGCTGCCTTCCTAGAAGATTACTTCGGGTTTGACTACAACCTTTTAGGCCTTGTTGCTGCTGTTTCTCTTCTCCTCCCCATTGCGTTTGCTTCCCTTTTCGCATACTTCATCGGAAAGTTAAACTTCCAGAGGAGGTAAAGAATTTGAGGATTTTTGTCTGGAACTTGCAGATATACGTATGAATTATGTATACTCGTCAATAAATTCTTTCAATCGTATTTCATTTGAATCACCATTTACTAAATTTGTACTAACTTTCCAGTCGAAAATAGGACGGGTTTCGACAAGTATTGAACGGCTAAGATATCTTTATCAAAATTTGTACAGTTTAGTACTATTTATCTTTACTAATATATATAAGGAAAATCTTGCATTTAACAAGTTGGTTACGAAATTAAAATTATCAAGGTTTTTTTCATAAATGGTTTAACCATGAAATACGAAATTAAATTTATCAACGTATATATATAGTTGAACTACCGCTGAAGTAATTCCAACATTCGTATTCCATCTTAACCACCAATTTACCATTACAAATTTCTATTAAGTTTTTTGTTCACTGATACATTTCCAAAGGTCAACATTAAAGATAGGACATATACATAATATTTTTTTTTCCCTATCTTCTTTGGAAATTGAATTTCCCAATGCAATAGGCAAATAGAGAAGCAAAAACAATTGGGAAAGCAATGAGAACAAGAGCCACAAGGCCTAAACGATCATGGTGGAAACCAAAGTAATCTTGTAGGAAGAAACCAACGGTTTTATGCTCCTCAAAGATCACTATTTCTTTGCTCATGTCTCCATATTGTGAAGTCAGTAGGCCATTTAAGGACCATGATGTAGGACATATCCAATAGCACCAAATCCACCACTTTGGAATTTTCTGCACATATAACATAATGGTCAGCTAGGTCATTTTCCCGTCACAATGTAACACTTTCCTAATCTACTCGTATTGTAATCTGTATGTTTACTAAGTGATTAGATATCAAATTCCACTTACGAAATCGATCAAAATCAAATATCAACGACATATTAAAAAAGGGATCATTTTAGGAGTTGAGATTTGAAATTTGATTATTTAGGCCAATTGTCCTTTATTAACACATGAAATAGCAATACTGCGTCAGCTAGGCTCGTTGTACATGTATTTGCATGGTTACAGCCTTTCCAAGTGCTCAAATGCTAATGCAGTTAACACAAAACCATCAAAATTTAGAAAGGGTTGGATTCAGTTACCGGTCCAGGCATGAGGAAGCCAGCGAAAAGATTCAGTAAGGTGTAGACTGCGGTTGCCAGAATGGAAGCTACGTCGAGGTTTGTGCTCAAAGAAGCTATCAGCATCCCAAGATATACAAAGTATAGAAATGTGCAGAATGTTGCATATAAGTACCAGAAAACCTTAGTAGGTGACCAAAAGAACCCTATGGTAGGATATGTAATGGCCACATACAAAATTGCTTGCAACATTGTGTAAGGTATTTCAACGACAACCTGCAACATTTAACAATTTAGCTTATAGGTGTGAAGATTTTTAATTTCTCCATTGCAACGATAAGTACTTGAAATGTATGAACCTGTGCAAATGAATAAGCCTTTGATGAGTACATCCCAGCAAACCTTTCACGGTACAAAACAGTGCGCTCAGTTGCGATATAAGGCAGAACTCCTGAGCAATTGGTTACGCCTAGGAATATTACGGCAATGTACGTGGACCCAAGTATGTTCATCAAATCCTGCTCATTATTTCTGCAGGAAAATGAAAAACAGAGGATTTAGAGGTTAGTAGGGTTTGGTTTTGATTTATTTATGATGATAGGGCAGGTTTCTCGAAAACAGGACTTACATTTCCTTCCCTTTCTGCCAGAAGATTACCCCAAACATGACTGATACAGCGATCATGAACATGAAACGCGCTAGATTGTATTCGGTACTTCTCCAATAGGACAAGTGTTGTTTCCAAAGACAGGCCTTGAACTGCACCCAACTATTTTGGGGAAAATGTGTGGGAAAGTGCAAGTCTTTTGAACCTGGCTTTGCTTCACTCAACTGTTTTACCAAATCAATTGAGTCTCTACAAATGAAAAAAAAAACCCCAATTTATGTGTTAAGATTGACTTATTACTTAACACCAAAATAAAAATGAAGTTCATGTTTAACATGTTTGGCAGATCAAGTTTACCTATACTGAGTAGAATTTTTATAGATGCTGGCAAAATCCAAACCGAGTTCTGCCTCTACCGAAGCAGAAGTAACTTCTAACATCCATGTTGCCGGGTTGTAATTGTCTTTGATCTTCGGTACATTAGGAATACGCTGTTGGATGGTGGAATATAAGAGTTAATTAATATATATGCTTAAGAAATTTTAAGAATGGTAGAAGAATATGGAGCTAGAATTATGTGCATACCTCAAAATATTCGATGAGTTCACTCGAGTTATGACCTAGAGCTCCCGAATAGATGATTTGTCCACCCGTTTTCATCAAAATTAACTGCAAAAATCAATGTCTTCCTTTAGTGATTGGCTTTTATCATTTGATTTCTTTTTTTTTTTGTTGGAAAGAAAGCGCTTCTTTTACTACCTCATTGAAAGACTCGAAGATATCAATGCTTGGTTGGTGAATTGTGCACACAGTTGTTCTTCCTGTGGCAACGACGTTCTTCACTGCACGCATGACAATCGCAGCTGCTCTAGCATCTAAACCTGATGTAGGTTCATCCATGAATATTATTGATGGATTGGAAACAAGCTCCACTGCAATTGTCAGCCTTTTACGCTGCTCGGTTGATAGGCCACTTTGTCCAGGAATGCCAACTAAAGAATCTCTTATATCCTCCAGTTCAATTGTTTCGATTACTTCTTCCACAAATCTCTGCATGGATAAAAATCTCTTATAAGATATTGTGAACTCTAGTTCTAACTCAATTCCGTTTCCTTGAAATTGTCGGAAATTGTGATATAGTTGATAAATTGAGAGAATCTTCTTACAGCTTTTAAGTCTTGATTAGTTTCGGGTGGCAACCGCAACCAAGCGGAGTACCTAACCGATTCTTCTACTGTGATAAGTGGAGAATGTATGTCAGTCTGCTCGCAGTAACCCGATATTCTTGCAAATGTCTTCTGGACCTTCGGATGCCCTCCTATTCTTATATCTCCCTCAATGGTACCTCCAGTTTTCCTTCCCGAAAGAACATCCATGAGAGTTGTTTTTCCAGCCCCACTCACACCCATCAGTGCAGTGAGAATTCCCGGTCTGAATGCTCCTGTAATGTCTTTAAGCAGCTGAAGCTTTTTCTGCTTGAAGCCATGCTTTCTCATTTCCTTTAGGGAAAAAATGAGATTAATTTACATCAAATAATAGTAACTCTCTCTCAGGTACTAAAAATGATAACCATAACAAAAAATTTAGTATGATATACCGGTGTGGTTGCAACGTAATACTGCACATCCTTGAATGATATTGTCAGTGGCTCAAATGGCAGGACCATCCTCCCTGTATAACCAACCAACACGCTTCAATAATTCAGTTATAAAAAATTCTTTGGTCAATGTTTTGAATATATGAAACTGAGCATGAACTTCTCACCGCAGTTGAATTTTCCTCCCACAGTTTGGGAAGAATAAGCTGGAGTCGATTCATTTTTCGACTGTTCACTGATGTTGCAAGCATCTTTTCCTTGTAATTTGGATAACCTTTTTCCCGAAATAATTGCGCGAGACATCTTTGGAGCTGCATATAGGAAACGATTAGAATTAAAGTGACAGAGTGTATTGTAATACCAAAAAATATGATCTGTCAATTAAAATGAACTTACGATTTTGGTAAGTCAAGGCTAAAACAAATCCAAGATCGAAAAGTACTGTGAACGCAAACAGTGCTCCAACTGATATCCAATAGAAATAGCCATCAAAGTTCAATCCATGTCTGGTTAGAACTTCATTTCCTAAGGTTGTGTTTCCATTTGTAACCTAAAGTAAGAATGAAGTAAAGCTGTTGGTAACGTTATGTAACTTGGTTTGGGACTGAAAGAATTCATATCATCTCGAGTTTTACCTTTTGCCATCGAGGAGCAAGGAATTCGTTTAGAGTTGTACCTATTTCTGCATAAGTCATAGGAGAACACCAGAATCCCCACCTCAACCAAGAAGGTAAAGAGGCTGCAATTTCACACCTTATTAGTCTAGTCGTTATTGCATGTAATGAAAGGGGGAAAAAACTAGTAAATGGACTTACGTTGTGGCAAAATGAAGCCTCCACATAAAAACATTACCACTAAGATGAAAATACCACAAGTTGATGCAAGAACCATAGTTCGGAAGATTACAGCGACCAAACGACACATTGATGTTGATGATTGATGCAGAGCAAATAGCATAAGAAACTGGCAGAAGAACCTAAAAACCATATGTGAGGGGTTGTTATTTATTAGTCTGGAATTTCTTGTTCTGTTGTCAGTATGAACTGCTTTTACCTTGTTATTTCCGGGCTAAACCCAATAACGTAGTAAGTTATGGCTGTCCATAGTGCTGAATCAAGTAGTGAAAATGGAACCTTCAGGAGAGAAGCTGGAATACAATACGCCCATGCCGGGTACAGATAGAATCCCCTTTGCTTGTAAACAACTGGAAGTCTAGTAACAGTCAAGGACAGCTCTGCAACTCCATTGGTCATAAGTCGAACGAGGGTATAAAACAATGAGCCCATCAAAAAATTTGCACTTGTCAGATCCACAGCCATTTGAGTTCGTATAAATACCGTCATTGTAATAAATGCAATGATGGTAAGCTGTGTAAAAAGGAGATTGAAAATATGTTAGTGATTCGAGTCAAGCTACAGAAGTACAACTACGAATAGTGGAACAGTAGACACTTAACCTGCGCTGTTTTGAATACATAGACAAAGGAATTTCGTTTCATAAGAAGCAGCTCTCGGCCCATACAAGCTTTGAACAATTCCCATTTTCTCACTGAGTAAGTGGTAAATGATAGGGCCTTGTCATGGCACTGTGATTTATCGTATGGTTCCGAAAGCTCATCATTTAACTTCTTCCCCAGGTAACTTGCTCTGAAAAGTTGAGAAAATTGATCCACTGAAACATAATCGTAGGGGATGTTGGTATGCTTCCAGTATTGTGCTTGATCCTTCTTTGAGATTACCTGTAAAGGGTTGGAAATACATAATTTTTTCCCTTTTTTCTTCGGTATGAAGTATTGGACGAAAAGAGAATTGACAAGTAAAACATGTTTTGGCACCTCTTGAAGGAAATCTGCAGCACCCTTTCTTGCTGGGCATTTGAAACCACAATCTTCGAAAAACTGAAGTGCCTGGCTACGAGGACCGTGGTAAACTATCTTCCCCTCTGCCATTAATATTACATCATCAAATAGATCAAAGGTCTCAGGGGCTGGTTGAAGGAGTGAAACCAATGCAGTTGCATCTGTGATGTGCACCAACTGCTGAAGATAGGTAACTATCTGAAAGGTCGTCGAGCTGTCTAATCCAGTTGATATTTCATCCATAAACAGAGTTTTTGTAGGACCTACAATCATTTCTCCTGAATATTGAACAGAAAGGGAATGTTATGTTTGGAAATTTGAAATATTCCAACGTGGGAAGTAATGAAATTCCAGCTTCGCTTGACTGCAAGATTTACTACCTGTTGTCAGCCTTTTCTTCTGGCCACCTGAAATCCCTCTTTGTAACGCATCACCAACCATTGTGTCACTACAGGTATCCAGTCCGAGGATCTAAGAGGCGAAAACATTATAATTCAATTTTCACTTCAAAGTGAGTAGAGACATCTAGTTTTTAATTAAGTACTTAATGCCAACACTGGTTGGAGAAAATTTACCTTCAAAACATAATCGGTTTGCAGATTTCGCTTTTGTCTTTCAACTGAAATTGCCTGAAAGTATTGTGTTAATCTTTAAATATTATGTAACATGGTTTAAAATACATTAGAGGGGATGTCATAAGATTTAACATCTACCTTCATGTAGGTGTCAATGTCGGAATCAGGTACTATTCCAGCTTCTTTTTCCCTTCTGATCACTTCCATCATTGTATCTGTGCATAATCGATTTTGAACTTCATATTTCAATAGATGTACACAACTATTTCCGATAGTAAATGCAAAAGTACAGGAGATAAGGAATTCACCAGCTCTACTGCCAACGCCCTGACAGCGGGCTGAAAAGTCGATTGTTTCCCTCACAGTCATCTCAGGTATGTGAAGGTCGTATTCGCTTATGTAAGCTGACGTTTTTTGAGGAACAAACTCATCTAGCTTGTAACCATTATAAGAAACCTCCCCTGCAACCTGAAGAAACAAAAACATGAGGTTTTATGACGATTGTAACACGGTTTACACTCCATTATATATTTATTTTGAGATTAACATCTGAATATTAATGAGGTTGTGTTAACTCCATGGTTTGCAATACTCACCTTGAGAGATTTATCGAGTTTTCCGGCAAGGGCCAATAACAAGGTGGTTTTCCCGCAGCCAGGGGTACCAAGAAGGAGAGTAAGCCTGCATTTAAAAGCATTTTTATGAGTAAAAAATTTCGTGTTACCGAAACTAGTAAGGCTTGAAATGCTGATTAATTGTAACTTGGATTTCAATACATCTTAATGTACAGAACTCGATTGACTACTATTAAATCAAAACCAACTTCCGGTTCACTTTCCTGTCTCGGTCTGCAATATACAAATACGCAACTCCTAATTCAAGCTAGCTTACTCTTGCTTCAGCCATTTGTCCTCAGCTCTATGTATGTACATAATTCTCCAAAAAGTAAAAATTGGAAATATAAATTCTAGGTACTCAGCATGCATAGAAGCGGGTACCTCGATGGTTTGATGATGCCATTGACATCTGATAGAATGCTCATCTTCGCTCCGGAAGATTTGCACCAAATTGCCTTTGTAAAAACCTGTTCAAAATTCATCAAACTTATCAGATAATGTCATATACTTCTAGGGAGGGACGAGAGGGGGACGTTGCGCCCGCTCAACAAATTCATTCGTCATTGATGTGCCCAATTGGTTAAAATGAGGGGCAAAATGTTTTCTTAAAATGCCTCAGAGGGTTGGAAAACAATGTCCGAGAGCTTCTTCATCTCGACCGCAAGAAAGAAAAATTTCTGAATCCGTCAAAGAGGTCTAAATCATACTTACTGATAAGAAGCTCAGAAGAGAGTTCCATAGTGTTGGGAGTGGCTTTCCTTGGACTACATCACACTCTGCTTCCACAAACAAGTTCTTGTACCTCACCTCCACCGTCGGCAACTTCACATTCACTCTAGAAGAAAACTTCTAGTTAGTTAAACTAGATATAAACCTTGATTCTCTAAGTAGCCTTGAGTCAAATTTGTAATGCACACGTACCTGTCTATCCTTTCTCTAAGTTTCTGCAGAAGTCGGAGATTGTCATGCTCTATGTGCTTTATGAGTTTCTCGACGAACAGGTGCCTCTCATCTGCTTTCAACTTTGTAACATCAACCACCCTCTTCCCTGCATGCTCCTTCCCCCCGCCGCCTACGCCACCATCGAAGTCAAAAAGCGCGGTTCTGCACCGTTTATATGTAGGCAGCCTCTCAATTGCAGCCCACTGCAACTGAACTTCCTCATCCTCCTCCTCTATAACTAAATGCTCCTTTCTTTCAACTGGTGTTAGCTCCATCTAAAAAATTGATACGCTTGTCTGTGCTCCAAGCGTCCCTCTTGACTTATATATATAGTCTTAACTGAGAGGAAGTATGGACAAGACGATATTCTAAACGATTCTAATTTATAGCAAAAAGAACCGAACTTTGTTGTAAGATAGCGAGTAGACTAAATTATCCAATTAGCTTAACACACCTCTGCGAATGAAAATCACTCTTTAAGTACCGCACAGATATTTCCAAATGTGAACAAGTAGGGAAATAGTTCCAAGAAATAACTTTTAGCTTGTGTGAACAATCTCTAGGAAAGATCAAACCTTTTCCAAAACATTAAAAGCGCACCCCAATAGCTTTCATTTCGTTTTCTGAATCTCTTGAGTCTTCCCAGATGGATCATGTGCCCTACTGTTGTTCCTGTTGTCTGACTAGTTGTTTATGAGAAATAATAGACCATGAATCTTCCAGTCAGCTTAAAAACTGCCCCTCCGATCCAGCAAAGGTTTTTCTTGCTTAAGTAGTTGAGGTAATTATGTACTTGTTTATTGCTGAGGGACCTACTGGTCAAGTTTCAAGTTTGTATCCTTGTTGTCACACTTGATTCATTGCAGAAATCAGTACATAATAATGCTATTCCACATGAGGGCCTCAACTTTTTATTTTATGCTAGGGCCTTAAAACTTTAATAATTTTCCTCAAAATTTTTATTTATTAAGGAATGAAAACGAAGTGTGAACATCGCAAGAGAAAGATATAAAAGTATGAAGGTCCCAAACCTCACCAACCTTCTCTCATCCCAACAAGGCCAAAGCAATTTTAGCTGTTGTTGGCCATGTATATACGGTTTTACTTGAAATTGACATAACTCATTACTTTAGTTTCTAAAATTTAAAATCGATAAAATTGATTCGTGAGTTTGTCTACCATCAATCATTTTGGTCATTGCGTAAAAAATTTCGTTAAATAAGGAATGAAATGGAAAAAATACCCTCAATTTTTGTCAAAATCATTTTGGCCCACGGTTAATAATTGAGGGTGTTTTTGTCATAATGATCCTTATTTAACAGATTTTTTTTTAACAGAATGACCAAAATGATTGACAGTGTACAAACTAAGGGATCAATTTTATCGATTTCAAATTTCAGAGACCAAAATAAAGAATTATGCCAATCTCAAAGACAATTTTCACTAAAAATCAGAAATTATTTTCACAAATATCTCACGAGGTTTTTCAGGCTTTTAGAAAACTTTCTAGAGTTTCAAAATTACATGGAACACTTGGAGTTTAATTGCACGGGGGTTTCTTTGTGATTGGAGCATTGTATTCTATTGACATTTTTGTATTTGTCTGGGATGATCAATGAAATATCAGTCTATTATTTCTTGTAAAAAAATTCTTGCATGAACACCTTTTAGAGATTCATGATGTTTTCATAACCCCTTAGAGTCATTTTTTTTTTCACATAACATCCCTGACGTTTTAAACCTTCTATTCTAGTACGAAATCCCAAGATTTTAACGTGGAGTTAAACCATGTATTTTATTTTAGCTGTGTCCTGTTAACGATGTCGCTTTTGGATTTTTCTAATTGTATAATGTTTCTTTTTAATTGTTCTTTTTATGTGTGAAACTTTATAAAACTTGAGGGGTTATGTGAAAATATATATGTACCTTAGGGTTGTATTTCTAATTTAATCTTTGAGGTTAAATTTATCATTTGGAGAAAGTTTGTAATAGCATTAGCAATTATTGGATGGTAAATTAATAAAAGGGGTTTCGTAAAAACAAATTTGAAAATTCATGAAAACACCGTACACATTTTTTTACTTCTCACACACTTTTTGTTAATTTCTATCTTTTGATCTTTTTCACTTCATTTGATTCGACGGTCAAAAATTAAAAATGTGTGAAAAGTAAAAATAAGTATGTGGATAGCACACCCCACAAAATATTAGCTTAATTAAATAACTACTTTTCTGCTTACATTTAGGGAGGGGAGGGGTGGTGTGGTGAAAATCAAGCATAAGACCTCTCACTTAAAAATAAAGAAAAATATCACTAAATCGTATGATTAAATGATAAATATCAGAATCGTGTCACATTTTATCCATTAATGAGGGCACATGAGAGATACTATTGGAGTGTTCTGATTTTAATGATTCTATATACTATTTGGGCGGCTCACTAAAGTCAGGTCATGAGTCAAGTCATGATTCTGAAAATTTTGGATGAGAATTGAAATATACTTATTCCATCCGAATTTCGGATATGAAATTTCTCAGACTTAATATTATAAAAAAAAATTATGCATATTCTTATTTTATCATTTTTTTAAAACAAAAAATAGCATTAGCGAGTCAAATTTTTGTTAGTTGGGTTTTTTTTTTTGAAGTTTTAACGAAAAGTCCGCGGTAGTGTTCACTTTAATGAAAAATCACATTTTTACACAAAAAAGTCAAACCTGGTACTATTTAATTTATCCTTTATTTTGTCATTATCAAGTCGTTTTCATTAGTTTTTTTTTTTGGGGGTGGTGATTGGTGGAGATCAAATTCACACCAAGATACATAGACATCATTATTTTTTGTAATTGCGATAAAACGTCATCTGATGCTTATTGTTATATTTAGATATGCTTTATTTTGTATTTTGTATGTTTAATAATACTTTTATCTGTGGAAAATAAAAACTATAATCATATGTACTATATTATTTTGTCTAATATAATTTTATATTATACACACACATATTAGCTTACAAAATTCAGAAGAAAAAATATTGAGTGTTGTGTCGGATACAAAAAAGTTTGGAATTTTTTAAAGCCTTGTAAAAATATAGAAGATTCAAATTACATTTCGAAAACTCCGATATAAAATCGATTCTAAAATTTTCGATAATCCAAAATTTTAAAATTGGAACTAATATTTGATTCCGAAACCTCATTAGAATGCTTGTTTCCGATCTGATCCGACCAAAAAACATTCCCCTTCTTCATGGATACATGGCCCCAACATCATACAACTATCACTTGCTCTTTCCTTATATTCATGAGCACTCCTTGTCCCTTTCTGCCTCTTCTTCTAGTTTATAGTCTTGGGACATAATAATTGAAGGAGATTAATACATAAAAACAAGAGAAGTATAAAATGAGAAACTGAAAACGTGAAAATCACTATCTTATATTTGGGTTAATTAAAAAGTAGAATCATTGAAATTACAAAGATTGAAACTTGTTGATCAATTATCTTTTGGTGACATTATGGTATGAATACAAATACCACTACATCTTAGCTGGTACGTGCTTATTTTTCTGCTGGAATCTACATACTAATTTTTTAACATATATTGAATTTCTAAGTAAAGAGACGACAATGACGACTTCTCTTGTTGTAAGATTTGTAATGTGACTCCTCCTCCTCCTCCTCCCCACTACTGAGGTGCCTTCGGCATCAAGCTTCCATTGATTTAACAACCAAAATAATGGTATTCTGTTGATTGGGGTTATCTTACTTTCCGGCACACTTTTTTGTCACGAGTGAGCAGTTGAGGTTTAATCAAATGAGTCATAGATAAATCTCAACCGTTACTTTTTCTTAAATCATGCGCGGTGGAGCATTGGTATAGATGAAAATGATGGGTGTCTTGATGATACAATCAATATGATGCAAGCGGAAGTGACATTACAAAGCTTATTGTGTTATAATATGGAGGTGGATTGGCTGTTTTCTCATTTTCATACTTTTCTCATGTTCTTTTGTGATGTGTGGTCATGGTTAAGTTATGTCAATATTTTATATTAATTTTTTATAAAAATAATAAAACAAAAAGTAATATGAATATAAAATGTTGACGTGGTTTAACCGTGACCATACAAACAGAAATGATGAAAAAAGTATGAAAATGGGAGGGCAGACAATCCACCTCCTTATAATATTTGTAGATAAAGATGGTGATGAGCCTGCATTCCACATTATTACTACTTTTCCTTCCATGCTGATTGACAATTGAGCGTGTTTCAAGAATGACCTGTGTATTTCGAAGAAGGCCAGTTTCGACATGCTTTTGATGTGGGATGCTCACTTTCATTGCAAATGTTTTGGTGTAGATTAGACGGTGAAATGGATCGATAATCAAATAAAAAAGACGCAAATCAGACAGCAACAATAAAATTTTGGAAATGTGAACTTCAATGTCCAATTCAGACCCTGCTCAAACTTAAAAGAAAAAAGTTAAGGCTTCAACTACAAATTATACAGTACAGTCAAATTGACTATTTATGGCTTTTTAACATACTAAAGCCCCACAAACTAACGAACTGTGTATAGTTTTTTTATTTTTTATTTTTGAATATATCAATATTTTTACACTAGAAAAAGGAGGAGTTTGGCTAAGCAACACAATGGGCAGCCTAATTTAGTATCGAATTCACCATCTATAATATTCGAATATAAGACCTCTCACTTCTAAGCCTAATTAATGAACTGTGTATAGTTAATTAGCGCATGAAAGCCTTCATCAATTAATCTATAATTAACAATCTTCAATTACAATTGAAATGGGTATGTAACTATCTTCAAGCCTTCAACGAATTTTACTTAACTTACATACTCAAAACCTTAAGGGCCCGTTTGTTTGACAGGATTAGGAGGGACTGGACTGGACTAGACTGTAGTCCCTTGTTTGTTCCATAACCGGACTAGCTTTAGTGGGATTACCCTTCACCCGCCTCGACTAAGGGGCTCGTTAGATCGTCTTAGCGAGACCCCCCGAATACCAGTGGACTAGTAAGACCGTCATCTCTCTCGTCGTCCCACTCTGCTCCATAACCTTACCGGACCATTCCACGACCAACGCCGCGTCCTCATAAGTCTCTCAGGGCTTCCTCTTCCACTTCCTCTTCTTCGTTTTCTTCGATTTTGTTATGAAGATTCGTGAAATTGTTAGTGGGTTTTGAACGATTTCTGAGTTTAATCGATTATGGGTTTTGATTTACTTGTGGGATTTCTGCATTCTGATTTATTTATGGGATTTCTAGGTTTTGATTGATTTATGGGTATTAATTTGATCCACAAATCAGTCATATTGTTTTAGGAGAATATTTGATCCTACAGAGAACAATCGTCTTCTTCTGAGAAAATCGTTCCGTGCATGTCCTTCGAGAGGCCCTGTTGTTATTCCCAACATCGATCTCGTCGGTTATGCCTATCAATTCGAGTAAGTTTGCTGCTTAATCTGTATGTTTTTTATGTCATGTTTATTTTGTGTTTAGTTGCACAGAAAGTTATGGAAATTAAATGGTGGAAAGAACTTATTGTCCAAGCAATATTTACGTAAAATCGCGAAAGCCATTCATGTACAGGTTATAGTTTTGTTTTAATGGTTTTTTTTTGCAGGGCTGTTTTGAACTTATGTCGCGGAGTGGGATAAGCATAAAGGGAAAGAAGGCAGTGATTGTTGGCAGAAGTAACATTGTTGGATTACCAGTTTCATTGCTGCTTTTGAAAGCAGATGCTACTGTTACCGTAGTCCATTCCCGCACACCTGATCCAGAGAGTTTCATTCGCGAAGCGGACATTATTATTGCTGACACAAGACAAGCAATGATGGTAGGCAATTCATAGATTATAGTTCCTTGGTATGTCGTAACATCGTCTTATGACATGCAAGTGTTATCTTATCTCGTATTTTTTGGCTTTCCATGAAAAAATCTAGTACTTAGTTTCGTTCTAGTTAGAAGAATAGGACTAGTTGTTTGGTTCCATTCATCCCAAGTGAAGGAAAAAGGACATTCCATCGTTCACTTTGGAATTGTAAGACAATGCATTAGAAATTTATAAGCTTTCACTAGGCTCTATCATTGCTTAAATGGAATAACCGACATCTGTTGGTGCAGATAGCATTGCGTCGGTTCTGTACTTTCCTTGTCTTCGTCTTGTGGCGATTATTGTTTATGTTTTAACTCAATGAAATATGTTTACTATCATTTTTGTTATTATATTTCCTTGCTGAATTTCAGATCAAGGGTAGTTGTGTAAAACCAGGTGTTGCTGTCATTGTTGTCGGCACAAATGCTATAGACGACCTGAGTAGAAAGTCGGGCTATAGATTGGTTGGAGATGTAGATTTCTAGGAAGCATGTAAGGTAGCCGGATGGGTAACTCCTGTTCCTGGTGGCGTCAGACCAATGATGGTGGCAATGTTGCTCAAGAACACTTTGGATGGTGCAAAGCATGATATTGCTCAATAAAGCCACCCTTGTCCTTTGCAAAGTACTTTATTAGCTAGGTAACATTTTATATTTTGTATGTGTTATTCTGCTATGTTTTCTTCATAGCCTTTGCAATTAAGATGAGTTTTAGGTGTTTAAGCAATGCGGTCATGTTTATTCAGGTTGTTGAGGTATCTAGCAATGAGTTTGAACCTTCATAATGAGATATACTATATGCAAAAGAGGTCGCTAAGGAAATGGATCAGCTTTCATAGAATTATCTCTTGATTATCAGAGTCCCATGTCTGAAACCCACATAGAAAATCTGGAAGCTCCACCCCACCTCTAACCAAGTAATGCTATTATGTGTGATCATATAATTCATAGGGATTTTCCTATTTAACATGGAATGTCTCTTGGGGATTTCTTGCTAATTTCTTTTTTTTTCTTACCGCAGCTGTTTCTCCACTGACATTAACAGCCGTTGGCAGCGGTTGTTGGTCGTTGGGAGAAGGGCTTTAGGTAAAGAACAACCTTGGAGAAGAACTAGAACAAGAAAGAACAAGTTTGGATAAGTAGAACTGGTTTGGTTTTGTTGTTCCAATATAAAGCTCTTATCTTAGTTTTAGTCTGTAGTGAGAAGTTGAAATCTAATTACAAGAATTGGGAATGTAAAGGATACGTGGCTCAGAGTCAACTGTTATATTTTCTGGAATTGTTTCTTTGTTTACTCAATTTCGTGTCCAAGAATTGCTTATGTTTAGCTTTGTTCCTCCATTTATTTTTTATTTTTTTTTTGGAAAGACTTTGTTCCTCGATTTTTTTATTGCGGATCTGCTACTTTTTGTTGGATTGAAGCAAATAACATTAATATTTTGTTATATATCATCGGTTATTTTTTTTTCTTTTTTTTCATTATTCTGCTTTTTAGTCCGACACTGCACCAAACGCTTCACTAAGTTAGTCCAGCTTAGTCTAGTCTAAGCCAGTCCAGCTTAGTCCCTACAGCTAGTCCAGTCCGAGACAGTCCGGTGCAACAAATGCACCGTAAGTTCACTACTGCTAGACTAAAGGTTTGTTTGAAAGTGATTATAAAATGGCTAAAAGCGCATTCGGTAAAAATGTTTTTGAAACAAATTCTTAGTTAAAATTTAAGTGTTTCTTGCAAAAAGCACATAATTGGTGCATGCTTCTTGTAGGAAGCACCTTAAGTGCTTTTGAAACTCAAAAGAATTTCCTCTAAAAACGTTTTCAATCAATTTAAAAGTACTTCCAAAAGAAAGTCTAAATAGTAAGTCTAAGGATAGAGCCCTTATGTGTAAATTTCTTCACTTAATCTTCCTTTCTTATTCTACCCAACCTCTTGTTTTATCTAATATACTATTGCCTTTTCTTTTCACACGCAAACGAATATGTTATAAGCATTACCTTTTCTAATTAATTAGTTCTAAGGTGCTCACCTTTGATATTACTTAGCATGAAATTATTAAGAACCATAAGTTAATTGCATCAGTATGTTTCATCAATCAAACACATGCACGCTACATGATGCGAGGCAGTTTAGCCTGATTAGTTAAGATAATTCACCCGTGTCCTCTAGACCTTGTGTAAACTCTCCCTCCCTTAATATTTGCTTTAATAATATAAAGAAAATATAATACCCTGCATGCCTAGGCTTAGCAGGGGTATATTTTAATTTATTTATTTATTATTGGTCGAAAGGGTTTAGCAGATAAATATTAATACACAAGAAAATTTTTATTTGAACACATATAATCTTCTTCTACACTCAGTTTAAATTTAAATGTGAATTGCCTTTTTATCCTATTGTTTGATTATCATCAAGTATAAGGTTAAATTAATAATAAAAGAAATTGATTAATAAACCCACTAATGATATTTGTCTATTTACATTTGCTTATATTATTCTCCTATGTCAACGACTCCAATGAATTGGAAGACTTCACATAAAACAAAAAATTTCTTTTTCTTTTTTGTTTTATTTGTTTATATGTATGTAGATAAGCAGTAATAAGCACCAGAAGGATAATAACTTTGATTTTAAGGGTAATAACTTTGAATCGGCACTTGATTATTTTGAAAGTGGTTTTGGCCCAGATTATAATAACTTAATTATACTAAACTTCTGCGTAGAAGAATTAACATATTCATTTACTACTCTCTTGTTCTAGCGAACATATTTGAGATTGAATAAGTTGCAGAACATTCTTAGGTGAAATGCCATTAGAGAGACAGAGACTACAATTGTGAGTTATGAATTAGCCAAATAAGCCAACGAGCTGATTACCCTTTTTGAATGAGTTGTAGAGCACGTATTAAGTTTTTATTTTATAAATAGGTGTAGAGATAAATTTACAAATTGAATTGGGTTTGTGAGGGTATTTTAGCTAGTAAATTTAGGTTTGAAAAGATAGATATTTAAATAAAAATAGTATGGATGTAGAGAATAAATAAGGTGTAGAAAATGGTTATTTGAGTTTAAATAAAAAAATTCATAAATAATGGTACAAAAATAGATTTTCACATGAACATGAGGATCCCTAGAAAAAAGAAAACTAACAACCAGTCCTCAAAAACTTTAGTTTTAATGAAAATGACAAAATAAAGGTGTAAGTGAATAGTATCATGAGTGACTTTTTATGGTAAAAATATCTTTAATGTTAAAAGTGAATAGTACCAGAAGTGTTTCGTTAATATTTCTGTTTTCTAACCCCCAACTTATTTCTCCTTTAGAGAAGTAGAGGACATGGTCGAGATTATAAATGGAGATGGCAGTTGAGTGCATGCATGCATGTCTCCATTATTTTCCAGTTGTTTCAACTTTAATTTGTTAAGTTTATTTTTATGCATTAGTGCCGAACGGACGAATCCCCAAATTATATATAGTGAACAAATTTGAAAGCTTAATTAACTAAGTTCCAAGTTTCATATTTTGTTGTATTTATACATTAATATTCTTGTCAATCCTAGTTTTTGTGTTGTAACTTGTGTCCCCCTTCATATATATTTTACTGTGATCGTCTGTGAATTGTGGGTTAATTTCCCTCTAATTTACTGTGATCAGTTAATTTTCCCCTATTTAAAGGACCACTTCCTAAGTTCCTATCTCCTTCCTCATCCTTCCTTGTTTTGTTTTAAATTTTAGTTCATCTGTCAAGAAAAATGGCGATAGGAAAGACGTCGCTTGCTTGCATTGCCCTGCCTATTTTCGTTTCTTTCTGCACGTGTTTCTTTGTGAACCCAGGTGCAATACATTCATTTATATTTCAGTATTATATGAAATAACATTCATTGATTATATCTTCAACTGAACATTAGCTAATTGTGTTTCTGTTGTGCCTTGGCCCGTTTATTAGTGCGGAAACGAGATTCAGATTACAACCTCACCAAATCACACTCAGTTGAACAGAATAAAATACAAGAAATAAATACAGCGAGAAATTTACGAGGTTCGGCAAAAAACCTGCCTACGTCCTCCGAGAGATGTTGCTCTTCACTATGAGAATAACTAGTACAAGATACACTTGAGTTAAATCGACATAACCCAAACCCCAATCCCTTTGTACCCTCACAGAATTTTACTAAGAGACTCACTCTCCCCAAAAGTTTCTCACTCTCACTCTATATTTTTCTACCACCCGTTCTCATCCGAATGCACTCTCAATATAAGGTCACTCACACTCATATTTTATTCCCAACATCATGATGTCTTGAATAATCATTAAAGAAAAGGCACCACCTTTTCTCTTTTCTTACAATGATGATGTCTTTACTCATGATTATGTCTTTACATGATGATGTCCACTTCTTTGTTTAGTTTACAAGCCGAAAGGCATTTGGATTGTGGTAGTCACCATGTCTTCAATTATTGTCAACACATGACTCATAATTACTCACAAATGTATGAGCCAAACACAACAATCTCCACCTTGGCGAATACACCATGCAAAAATCCTTGCACCCATCACCAAGGCTCATTGGCCTTACGTATCAGCATACACACCCTGAATCAACCTCGTTGGTCCTGTTCAGATTCAGTTACTGTTCGTGGCAGGAATTTCCATTGGGGATGTTTCCTGGCCGACGAGCACACAGCTCCCCTGGAGGTTGGCGCCGGTTGAGGGCTGCTGTCGGGCTTCTGCTTCGTTTCTGGGCGTTGTCGGGCAAGTCTCGTTGGGCAAGACTCTTCGGGCAAGGCTCTTCGGGCAAGGCTCTTCGGGCAAGGCTGAAAGAGAAGGACAGCGTTAACTTTGAGAGGTGCCTTTGTGGGGCCTTAGGTATAGGCCTTGAGGCTCACAATCAAGGTTAACATTTAAGTGCTCAGGCGTGCCACTGCCATTTTTAGCATGGCAGATGTAAAATGGTTGTCGTTCTTTCATTGTATATATGTATGTATCCAAGAAACCG